CAATAAACTTGCGGAAAAGATAGTATACCGCAAACGAAAGGTGCAAAAATTAGTACACCATATCCGGATTTCGACAATTAATGTCTCTTCAGTGATGTTAGGGATCGAAACAGTATTTGGAAGGCCATAAAATTTACCTCAATTTAGGATAGACTCTTGAATTTTAAAGAGTCGAAATAGGATGAACGGATCATATAAACCCGAAGGAAAATATAATACAAGCCCAAACGAAAAAATATAAACAAGTCTAAATTGAAAACAACGTTCAAACCTATGATTGCGTTGGATAAAAACCGCAATTTTTATACGTGAGCATGCAAAACAAATTTCTTGATAGAGGGGTCTAAATACAGCACAAACAACATTTTCCAAAAGACCAAAAAAGTGAAAAAGTATATTTTAACAAAACGCATTTGACTAACAGGTCGAACAACAGATGTTCTTAAACCCTGCTGACTGCCATTGGCGATTGCCAAATAAACGGATCACAAGATGTTACAAAATGGATCTTTTAAAATTTATAAATTTAATACCAAACAGAAAACAATAAACTTGCGGAAAAGATAGTATACCGCAAACAAAAGGTGCAAAAATTAGTACACCATATCCGGATTTCGACAATTAATGTCTCTTCAGTGATGTTAGGGATCGAAACAGTATTTGGAAGGTCATAAAATTTACCTCAATTTAGGATAGACTCTTGAATTTTAAAGAGTCGAAATAGGATGAACGGATCATATAAACCCGAAGGAAAATATAATACAAGCCCAAACGAAAAAATATAAACAAGTCTAAATTGAAAACAACGTTCAAACCTATGATTGCGTTGGATAAAAACCGCAATTTTTATACGTGTGCATGCAAAACAAATTTCTTGATAGAGGGGTCTAAATACAGCACAAACAACATTTTCCAAAAGACCAAAAAAGTGAAAAAGTATATTTTAACAAAACGCATTTGACTAACAGGTCGAACAACAGATGTTCTTAAACCCTGCTGACTGCCATTGGCGATTGCCAAATAAACGGATCACAAGATGTTACAAAATGGATCTTTTAAAATTTATAAATTTAATACCAAACAGAAAACAATAAACTTGCGGAAAAGATAGTATACCGCAAACAAAAGGTGCAAAAATTAGTACACCATATCCGGATTTCGACAATTAATGTCTCTTCAGTGATGTTAGGGATCGAAACAGTATTTGGAAGGCCATAAAATTTACCTCAATTTAGGATAGACTCTTGAATTTTAAAGAGTCGAAATAGGATGAACGGATCGTATAAACCCGAAGGAAAATATAATACAAGCCCAAACGAAAAAATATAAACAAGTCTAAATTGAAAACAAGATTCAAACCTATGATTGCGTTGGATAAAAACCGCAATTTTTATACGTGAGCATGCAAAACAAATTTCTTGATAGAGGGGTCTAAATACAGCACAAACAAAATTTTCCAAAAGACCAAAAAAGTGAAAAAGTATATTTTAACAAAACGCATTTGACTAACAGGTCGAACAACAGATGTTCTTAAACCCTGCTGACTGCCATTGGCGATTGCCAAATAAACGGATCACAAGATGTTACAAAATGGATCTTTTAAAATTTATAAATTTAATACCAAACAGAAAACAATAAACTATCTTCCTATATATATATATATATATATATTAAAAAGTTTTAAATTTTGTCCACGCTGTGCATAAAATAGGGAAAAAAATAAGGCTGAAAATGCACCAAATATTTATATTCAATAGGAATATTCACATTTTGTCTATTACAACAACAAATTGTTCAAAAATGTTCTCCATAGTATTCTACCGGTTTCACTGTTTAACAGATCTTCAAGGATATGGTTGCTGGCGACGTCGTCAGGGGTAACGTCAATCAGCGACATTATTATTTAGTCCTGAGCGTCATAATATAGCACAACGTAGGTACTTAAAACGAAAGTGAAAGTACATAATTATAAAGAAATGCCTTCCAGATTCTCATTTCATCTATTTAATTTAGGACGGTATTTCTTAATAAAATAATTTTCTTTATTAATTCTCATTGGTTCCGTTGTATTATCTGAACACTGATAAAATGGAAAAATGAAGAAATTTGGATGACTTGATCCAGCGCATCTATCAATATGTTCGCTAAGTGGGATTTTTCTTGTGCTCGGGACTCGAATTTGCTGTCTATGTACTGGCATTTGTTTTCTAATGGTATTGCCGGTTTGTCCAATATAATTTTCTTGACAAACACTGCAAGTGATGATGTATAGAAGATTTTCCGATGCACATTTAAAACTGTTCTTGATTTTAAAAATGTGTCCTGATTTAAAAACGAATTCTGTTTTCTCGGATAAGTATAAACAAGATTCACAGTTTGGTCGTCCACATTTTTGTACCTTTGGTTGACTATTTTCAGTTTGAAATGTTGCGCGGGTCAACAATTTTTTTAATGATTTCGGTTGCCGTTTGCTTTTAATTACTTTGTGTGAATTAAATAATTTCAACATCCTCTGGTCGCTCTGTAAAAATGGTAAATTGTTATGTGAAGTGTTGAAAGCTTCATTATTTCTGGGGTTGTGAGTAGAAATGTACGGTAAAACGTTTTCTTTTGAATGTGATTTAGTTTTCCGTAATTCCTGTAAGCTAAAAGATTTGGCTCTAGTTATTCCATCATCAATTATTCTCTTATATTTCCGGTCCAAGAGCATGTATCTTAATTCATTTAATCTTGTATCCCTTAATTCTGGATTTGAAATGATAGTACATATGCGTTTAGCTAGGTTATATGGTATATTGACTCTAGTATGTTTTGGATGACATGATGTAAAAAGTAGATATTGTTTGGAATCAGTCGGTTTATAGAAAATATCGGTTTCTATGTTGGTTCCGTTCTTTAAGATAAGAATGTCTAAAAAAAGGTAATTGGTTTCTATTGTATTCCATAGTAAATTGAATGTTCTCGTTTATTTCATTGAGTAAATCTTTGAATTCCATTAACATATCTATGCTGTTATTCCATAAAATAAAACCGTCATCTAAGTATCTTTTCCAATTTTCCATCAAAAATTTAAAATCTATAGATGCGCTGGATCAAATCATCCAAATTTCTTAATTTTTCCATTTTATCAGTGTTCAGATAATACAACGGAACCAATGAGAATTAATAAAGACAATTATATTATTAAGAAATACCGTCCTAAATTAAATAGATGAAATGAGAATCTGGAAGGCATTTCTTTATAATTATGTACTTTCACTTTCGTTTTTAGTACCTACGTTGTGCTATATTATGACGTTCAGGACTAAATAATAATGTCGCTGATGGACGTTACCCCTGACGACGTCGCCAGCAACCATATCCTTGAAGATCTGTGAAACAGTGAAACCGGTAGGATACTATGGAGAACATTGTTGAACAATTTGTGGTTGTAATAGACAAAATATGAATATTCATATTGAATATAAATATTTGGTGCATTTTCAGCCTTATTTTTTTCCCTATATATATATATAAATGCCTTACTACCAGGACACATTATTATTCGAAGTATGTAGACATGTCACTCTACCAGAATATATTATACGAGATCTGTAGAAATGTTTATAAAAATTTATGTAGACGAAAAATAAATAAATGTCACTCAACTGCACACATTCTGTGAATTATATAGACAAGTCACCTCACAGGACGAATTATACGAAGTATATAGAAATCTATTAATATGAGGTAGGTGTTACTTGTGAAAGAGGACTAAGGCCATATAGATTATAATTTCGATACTGATTTTTTTTCAAACAAAAAAACAAAAACAATAGTAAAATGTACTTAGGCCAACAATCATTTTTACATTTTACAAATTATGACATTGAAAAACAATCCTTACTTTTGGGACACCCTACATTATTGTTTTCATGAAAAAAATAACTCTTTACCAAATTACATGATCAGGTAATTTTCCGCAGAGTGAGGTATAGATAACTTCTTTTGTTTGCAGCCCAATCCTGTATTGAATAAGCACAAAACTCATGTTAAAAAGTACACAAACAAAATAAATTGAAAATATTTGTCCAAATATTACTATCATTATTCCTTATTTGGTTACTTGAATTGACATAACTGCTGTCACCAGAATGAGAACGTGGTAATGCACTGTTTCGAAAAAAGTTAACGATTTCCGATTCATTAGTATATTGATTTTCTTACTGTTATTGAGGACTTCGTCATCATTTTAAACTTTATGATGATGAGGTATATATAATTATTATACTTCATGTCAAAATGCCAGACTTCGATTGGTTAATACGAGGGAGACAATTTACTCTGTTCCATGGCAAATAATCTATTACCCTTCACGGAGACGCTTGCTCAAGTGTGCGCTTTAATAAATACGGATGATTGTTATGTACAAGACGACATAGTTTATTACTTTGAATTTGAAATTTAATAGACAGTAATAACAGAGCATTCAGTATAATAAATTAAATAACACATATCTGAGAGGGTGATAGAGCAGATTAATACCCCTCGAAAAGACTTTGTCAACCTTGGCTTCACCTCAGTTGACAATTCTTTCTCGGGGTAACAATCTGTTCTATCACCCTCTCAGCTATGTGTTATTTATATAATGTCACCCTACCTGACACATTATACGAGGTATATAGAAATGTCACCCTACCCGGACATATTATACAAGGTATATAGAAATGTCTTCCTTCCCGGACACATTAAACGAGGTATATAGAAAATTTCAATCAAACTTTATGTAGACGAAGTTTGGTGTCATCCTTCCCGGAAATATTATACATATTGAAATGTATCATTAAACTTTATGTATACAAGGTATAAATGCCATCCTACCATGACACATCATACGAAGTATGTAGACATGACTATTTAAACTGTATGTAGACATGTATATATAAATGTATAATAGAAATGTATGTAGACGCGGTATATATAAATGTATGATATAAAATCTTTTTGTTTACTCTTTTCAGACTTCGTCCTAGTGGTACAGAGATAATTGGTTGAAATAAACTTTGCATGTTGTATATGTGTTATTTATATCTATATATTATTGTTAGTTGAGGAATCCTGCTTATAAGTACGAAAATGATAAGCAAAGAAAATGAAATATTTGCCGTGGTCACGATTGACTTCCATTGTCATGACTTGTTTCCGTTGTCGTCACCTGTAATCCGTTGTCACGACTGATTCCCACGGTCACGACTTGTTTCAGTTGTCACGACTTATTTCTGTTGCCACGATTGATTTTCTTTCTTTGTGATAATTGAAATTCGTTGTCTCGAATGATTTCTGTTGTCAATAATAATTTTCGCACTCACGACTGATTCCGTTGTCATGACTTATATTTGTTTTCACAACTGATTTCCATCATCACTACTTGAATGTGTTGCTCAGACTTTAGTTTTCTATGTTGTGTTTTGTGTACTGTTGTTTGTTTGTTTGTTTGTTGGTCTTTTTTTAAGCCATGGTGTTGTTAGTTTGTTTTCGACTTATGAGTTTGGATGTTCCTTTGATATCATTAGCCACCCTTTTTGCTCCGTTGTCAATCTTCACTGAACTAGTACACATTTATGTGAAGGGGCCATCTGAAGCCCGTCTCCGGGTGCGGGATTTTCTCGCTGTGATGAAGACCCATTGGTGGTCTAGGGCTGTTTTCTGCTCTTTGGTCGGGTTGTTGTATCTTTGACATATTCCCCATTTCCATTCTCAATTTTACTAGAATAATATTCATCATGTACGTTGGACAACTAATATTTGTCTAGAATAATATTTATCAGGCACGTCGGAGAAGTAATGTTTGTCTAGAAAAATAATCATCCTTAGGTACGTTGGAGAACTAATGTTTGTCTAGATTAATCATCATCAGCTACGTTGGACACATAATGTGTGTCTAGAATAATATTCATCATGAACGTTGGACAACTAACATTTGTCTAGAATAATCGTCATCAGGTACGTAGGACACCTAATGTTAGTCTTGAATTATCTTCACCAGGTACATTGATGACCTAATGTTTGTTTAGAATAATCATCATCAGGTATTTTGGACACATAATGTAAGTCTAGAATAATCTTCATCAGGTACTTTGGACACATAATGCTAGTCTAAAAAAATCTTCATCAGGTACTTTGGAAACATAATTTTAGTCTAGAATAATCTTCATGAAGTATTTTGGACACATAATGTTAGTCTAGAATAATCTTCATCAGGTACTTTGGACACATAATGCTAGTCTAGAATAATCTTCATCAGGTACTTTGGACACATAATATTAGTCTAGAATAGTCTTCATCAGAAACTTTGGACACATAATGTTAGTCTAGAATAATCTTCATCAGGTACTTTGATGACCTAATGTTTGCCTAGAATATTCACCATCAGGTATGTTGAAGACCTAATGTTTGTCTAGAATAATCTTCATCAGGTTCGATGGAGAACTAATAAGTGTCAATAATAATCATATCATCATTACTTTGATGACCTAATGTTTGTCTCAAATAATCATCATTATTCAGGTACGTTGGAGAACTAGTGTTTGTTTATTTATAATCTTCATCAGGTACTTTGGGAACCTAATGTTTGTCTAGAATAATGTTCATCGGGTACTTTGCAGACCAAATTATTGTCTAGGATAATCTTCACCAGGTTCCTTGGAGAACTAATTATTGTCTAGAATATTCATCACCAGGTACGTTATACACATAATGTTTGTCTAGAATAATCTTCATCAGGTACGATGGAGAACTAATAAGTGTCAAGAATAATCATCATCAGGTATTTTAGAGACCTAATGTTTGTCTAGAATGATCATTACCAGGTACTTTAGAGACCTAATATTTGTCCAGAATAATCATCATCAGGTACGTTAGACACATCATATTGTCCAAAATCGTATTCATCGTGCACATTGGACAACTAACATTTGGCTAGAATAATCTTCACCAGGCACGTTGGATCCCTTATGTTTGTCTAGAATAATCTTCATTAGTTACTTTGATGACCTAATGTTTGTCTCAAATAATCATTATTAGTTAGGTACGTTGGAGAACTAGTGTTTGTTTATTTATAATCTTCATCAGGTACTTTGAGAACCTAATGTTTGTCTAAAATAATGTTCATCGGGTACTTTGCAGACCAAATTATTGTCTAGGATAATCTTCACCAGAATCGTTGGAGAACTAATTATTGTCTAGAATATTCATCACCAGGTACGTTAAACACATAATGTTTGTCTAGAATAATATTCATCATGTACGTTAGACAACTAATGTTTGTCTAGAATAATCTTCCAAAGGCACATTGGACACTTAATGTTTGTTTAGAATGGGAATTATAAAGTACGTTGGACAGCTAATTTTTGTCTAGAATAATCTTCCCCAGGCACGTTGGACATCTAATGTTTGTCTAGAATGAGAATCATCAGTTACTTTGGTGAGCAAATCTTTGTCTAGAATTATCATTATCATTTACTTTGGTGGCCTAATGTTTGTCTAAGATGATCACCATCATGTTCTCTGGGGAACTAATTACTGTCTAGAATAATCATCATCAAGTATGTTTGAGAACTAAACGTTTGTCTAGGATTATATTCATCGGGTACGTTGGAGACCTAATGTTTGTCTAAAATAATCTTCATCAGGTACGATGGAGAACTAATTAGTGTCTAAATTAATCATCATCAAGTATTTTAGAGACCTAATGTTTGTCTATAATGATCATTATCAGGTACGTTAGAGACCTAATATTTGTCCAGAATAATCATCATCAGGTACGTAAGACACATCATGTTTGTCTAAAATAGTATTCATCGTGCACGTTGGACAACTAGTATTTGGCTAGCATAATCTTCACCAGGCACGTTGGACACCTAATGTTTGTCTAGAATAATCTTCATCAGTTGCTTTTAATAACCTAATGTTTGTCTAGAATAATCATCATCAGTTACTTTGGTGACCTAATGTCTGTCTAAAATAATCATCATTAGTCAGGTACGTTGGAGAACTAATGTTTGTTTAGAATAATCTTCATCAGGTACTTTGAGAACCTAATGTTTGTCTAGAATAATGGTCATCGGGTACTTTGCAGACCTAATTATTGTCTAGAATAATCTTCCCCAGGTTCGTTGGAGAACTAATTATTGTCTAGAATATTCATCACTAGGTACGTTATACACATAATGTTTGTCTAGAATAATATTCATCATGTACGTTGGACAACTAATGTGTGTCTAGAATAATCTTCCCCAGGCACTTTGGACATCTACTGTTTGTCTAGAATGGGAATCAACAGTTACTTTGGTGGCCTAATGTTTGTCTAGGATGATCACCATCATGTTCTCTGGGGAACTAATTCCTGTCTAGAGTAATCATCATCAAGTATGTTTGAGACCTAAAGTTTGTCTAGAATAATATTTATCGGGTACGTTGGATACCTAATGTTTGTCTAGAATAATCATCATCAGGTACGTTGGAGAACTAATTATTGTTTAAAATAATCTTTATCATATACGTCAGTGTCAAGACTTATTAGAACTTGTTTTGAAATAAGAGAAAATTTGCATTCCAGAAACTAAATATACATGTAGTAGTGATGTAATTTTTTTTTATGTATTAGAGAGGGTTAATATTCTATTTTATTTATTTCAAACACCATCTGGTATGGAGTAGAGTTAACTCATCATTTATTTTTAATGTAATATATCTTAGAAATTACTGTATAATTAATACTATATATATATATATATATATATGTATGTGCTCGGAAACGGGCCCTTTAATTGGATTCAATAAATATTCTTATTCTTATTCTTACGTTGGAGCACTTATTATTATCTAGAATAATCATCATCGGGTACGTCGAAGAACTAATGTTTGTCTAGAATAATCGTCATCATGTACGTTGGAGAACTAATATTTGTCTGGAATTATCATCACCAGGTACGTTGGTGACGTAATGTTTGTCTGGAATAATCATCATCAGGTATGTTTTAGACCTAATATTTGTCTTGAATTATCTTTATCAGGCACGTTGGGGAACTAATGTTTGTCTATAATAATCATCATCAGGTCCGTTTGAGACCTAATTATTTTCTAAAATAATCATCACCAGGTACGTTGGAGACCTAATTATTGTCTAGAATAATCATCACCAGGTACGTTGGACACATAATGTTTGTCTAGAATAATATTCATCAGGAACATTGATGACCTAATATTTGTCTAGAATTATGATCACAAGGTACTTTGGTGACGTAATTTTTGTCTAGAATATTCATCATCAGGTACGTTGTAGACCTAATGTCTGTCTAGAATTATCATCATCAGGTACGTTAGACACATTATGCTTGTTTAGAATTATTATCATCAGCTACGTTAGACACATAATGTTTGTCTAGAATTATCATCATCAGGTACGTTAGAAACATAATATTTGTTTAGAATAATCTTCATCAGGTACGTTGGAGACATAATGTTTGTCTAGAATTATCACCATCAGGTACTTTAGAGAACTAATGTTTTGTCTTGTATAATCATCATCAAGAAGGTGAACACCTAATGTCTAGAATAGTCTTCATCAGGTATGTTGGAGACCTTATGTTTGGAAAGTGCAGAGACATATGTAAACATCAAATCTATGTAGAGCCTCAAATATGTGTCCTTTCCGCAGATTCTTTATGGCATTATGGACCTGAGAAATCTATGTTCATTTCAACAAGTTATGAACTGTATTTTGTGTTGATGTCATTATTATCTTTTATTTGTCTTTGTATATTATCTACTTTACTGTTTAGTCTATTTTTGGTAATATCCTCTTGGCGTGGCTCGGTACTTATACATCTCGCCATTGTGTTATTGTGCTATCGTCATTTTTTTGTATTCTTGTCTTTCATTTTTGCTTATGTGGTTTGTCTATATGCCATTTTGTTTTTCTTTGTTTGCATATGTTTTAGAGTGATTAAGATTAGAACACATTGTTGACTGTTTATTTTTGACATTTTTACCTATTATGTCTGTTTGTTTTG